GACGATTGTAGCGGTAGCAGCAGTAGCCGCGGTAGCAGTGGCCGTAGCAGTAGCGCAGAGCAGTAGTAGTGTGCATTAGCACGTTAGTCAGAATCAGTAGCGCAGCAGCGGCGGCGGCGGCAGTAGCACCAGCAGCAGTAGCCGGGCAGCAGCACCACCACCACAATCACACCTCCACCAGCAGCAGGCGCAGCGAGCAGCAAGTAGCGGTGCAGCAGCAGCAGGCAGCGAGGCAGCAGAACACAGCGCGCAGCAAGCAGTAGCGGCCAGCAAGTAGTAGTGCGCAGCCTGCATTGTGCAGCTAGCAGTAGTAGTAGTTAGTAGTAGTAGCAGCATGCATTAGTAGCAGCAGCGAGTCGTTAGGTAGTTCGACCGCAGCAGCGCGAGCGTAGCGGCAGCGCTATGTAGCAGCGCAGGCTGCAGCAGCGCAGCAGTTAGCAGCAGCCAGTATAGTGCGTTAGCAGCAGCAGCAAGCAGCAGCAGCCAGTACGCGCGACGGCAGTATTAGTAGCCGCAGCGCAGCAGCGCGCAGCAGCAAGTATAGCTTAGCATGCAGCTGTAGCGAGCAGCGTAGTCGCGCAGCAGAATATTAGTGCAAGCAGCAGCAGCAGCAGCAGGCAGTAGCGGGCAGGCCGTATTAGTAGCAGCAGCGCGATCGCGCGCAGCAGCCAGTAGCGGCAGCAGTATTGTAAGCTAGCCAGCGCAGCAGCGGCAGCGCAGCAGCTAGCGGCAGCGGTATGTGCGCAGCAGCAGCAGCGTGCGCGGACCAGCAGATAGTAGCAGCAGCAGCAGCAGCAGTAGCAGCAGCAGTATTAGTAGCAGCAGCAGCAGCAGCAGTAGCAGCAGCAGTATAGTAGCAGCAGCAGCAGCAGCAGCAGCAGCAGTATAGTAGCAGTAGCGGCAGCAGCAACAGCAGCAGCAGTAGCGGCGTTGGCACAGTCACAGTACATGAACATTCATGAACAACTACGCGCATTGCATTCACATATAATATCAGGAAATAAAAAATATACACATGATTCTTACGTCCCGCTGTCAATAGCAACCCATGAATAGACAATAACAACAGGTGTTGGAAGAAACCTAAAATATTAACGTTTTAAATGTCGCGTGAAAACATCAAAGTTGTGTAACATCAAAACACGTAAGTGTAAGCGCAAATGTCAGTTGTTTATGAATTTATTCTAAGATCGATAAATACACGGATGAAAGAAATAAATGAGGGAAGCAGGCATCTCGAGGGAAGCGGAAGGAGGTTAATTTATCCTCATTTATATATTTCTCAACGTCGTAACGTACGCTAACGCGTAACGCTCGCGTGTTGTTGTAGCGCTGCTGCGCTCAGGCCTAGTACCTAGGCGTTATGCCGTGCGAGTGGCGCGGGCAATGAGCCGGCGAGCGACGCACGCGAAGATGATTGCTAGACTCGGTGCGTTTGATGCACCGTATGGGTGTTTAATGGCACTTAGAAGCAGGGAGCTTATTCTTGTATCATGTCTCTCTGGTTGGTGTTTGCTTTACATCTTACGCAATTGTTACTCCTTATACCTAACGCCTGCTCCCGTTCCCATACCTTGACCGAATAACAAAGTTGAACTTTATTATGTGTTATAATGTTATTGTATTATGTTATTTATGTATGTAATGTTTAATAATTTCATGTTTAATGTAATAACAGCGAATAAACGTCGCAACGTTAGTAGAGTAGGTTGATTATAATCAGCTTTAGTTGTCTAATCATCCGTCATTTTATATGTTTCAGTTGTCAGCATTGGCTCACGTCTACTGCCTAGAATAAAAGTGGCGTCAGAGACAAATGGTTGTTCTTATCTATGCTGACATCGGTGCCCGCAACGTTCTTG